AAATTAAAAGTTCCGCTACTCCTTATCATACCTGTACGCGGAATATTAACATGCAACATATGAAGAGTGATTTTAAGACGCATTGAAATATTTGATGGATTCGTTCTACCATTCATCAAACTACAGTACTATTGTTGAACAAGGTAAAGGAATTTCAAACTAACGAAAGCTAAGTGATGATATTCTTCGCGTTTACAACCTTGTTCAGTTCGACTGAAATAGTTGGCTAAAGATAACTTGTCTATGTAAGGTACAAATAACACAAATCATTTAATGCAAACGTAACCTTGAACGTAACATATATTATAACTCATCACTTTATGATTAAGTACATATGAATAGCTCAAAAAAGAGTTTACAAATAGATCAAAAGAGCATAGATGGTATCACCTGTAGCAAGACTTGATATAGAAAAAGCATTGTAGATATCGAATACCCTGAGTTCATCAGAAGTTTCGGTTTCAGTTTGGAAAGGTCAGGAGGCTTGATGACCGGTGGTAGACATTGTAATGATGATCTCTCGTTTGATCCAACTTTCTTTTGAAAGAGTCGACAAATGGAGCCTCAATCACGTGCTGATGTGATTAATTCCACTCCTTCATAATTCGATGGGAAAGTCGATAGTCAGCTGACAATTTTTTTGTTCTGGGCATGTGAACTTTCTTGGAGTGTCCTCGTAAATTCTCTGTTTTGAAAGACAAGAAAAATGAGGGCATATCAGGTGCAAATTTATCACTAAGTAATTTGAAAACTGTAATCAAGTCGCCCCTAGTTCTGCGATATGATAACGGGACAAGGTGTATCTTGGCCAGTCGAGAACCATACGGAAGCTTCGTTATTCCAGGAATCAGCTTAGCTGCTGTTCTCTGAACCGTTTCCACAAGCTCACTGTCTTTTTTAAACCGGGGCTAGCCGCTTGTATGCAGTACTCAGGTTTAGGATGCACGAACACAGTACACAGATTCAAAAACGTTTTGGCGTCGACATGACTAAAAGCTCTACGTATTGACCATAAACTTTTAAAACCCTTGGCGTCTATTGCACGGCAGTGTGCAGTAGTCTTTAGGTCTTTGCTAACGTTGACTCTCAAGTCATTATATGTCTGGACGACAGGTAGCTCAGCGTTATTCATCGTGTATGTATCTGTACCTTGATGACCGATATGCCTCACAACACACTTGGAAGTATTTATCGGCAACTGCTAGGTTTGAGACCATTCAGATAATTTCTTCAGGTCATTTAGGAGTTCTAAGCTATCACCCTTACGTCGTATCGTTCTCCATATCTTGACATCGTGATCATATAGCAAGACCGACGATGATAGGAGACGAGGAGGGTCATTTACATTCAAGAGGAATAACACTGGTCCCAAAACTGTTTATATAAGAACACAAGCGTTTAGAACATTCTATGGATTCCTTAACAATTTTTCCTTCGTACAACTCTCTAGACGTACGGAGGGTCGAGACACCGGTATTCAGAGCATTTCGATACTGAGATTTTGTCTCATCAGTCATCTAAATCTATCCCACATTTTTCTCCTCTTACGGATAAGGATACGAACCTCCCTACCGAACGGTGGTGGAGAGTTTCTCGGCCCCCTTTATATAGTCCAAGGGATGTGGGGTGCGGTAACTTTTAAGTATCAGTTTCGGAACGCGTCCCAAGCCGTTTCAATTGAGGACTCTGAGTCTATTGTCCAATCTACTAACGATGCTGATTGCATGATATCTGGTGTGTTTGCTTTCCAGACTTTAGGTCGGGATTGAGCGGACGCGTGCTCATGATTAACAGTTACATGGAAGTCGAAAGTTAGAACTGCGTGATCACTTTTACCTAGGGGTGGCATCTAATGAAGGTCCGCAACTTCATCCTCATAGTGAGTCAATATAGGATCTAGTAAGGATGATTCAGTATTCTGGTCGTACCTGGTCGCTTCTTTTACATGTTGCACTAGAGCACATGTAATAACCCCATCAACTAGTTCCTGTTCAAAGGAATTATCTGACGATTCAGTTAGCAGATTTTCCCGGTCTACCATAGATGCATTAAAGTCCCCTAGGATTAGGCATCAACCACTTTGTGACCAAATATTGAGACTACTTAGCAGGACTTTATTTACCTCACAGCTTGGACTGCGATAGATCAAGCCAATCAGCAGCTCTTGTCCCTTGCATTTCAGGCGGCAAATAACTAATTTACACGTCCCACTCTCATGGAATACACTGTCGATAATGGCAAATGGGATAGCATTCCTAATGAATAGAGCTACTCTCCCCTTTACGCTTCTGGATTCTGTCGACCCTTACTAACGTGAAACCCTCGGAATCAAGTTCCATACTATCTATAGACTGTGTCAATCAGGTTTCTGTGACTGAGATTATGTCTGGCTTTGTAGAGTCAATCTGTACACCTAGTTCCGATCGCTTATTAAGTAGGCTTCGGGCATTGGTGTAACGGATACGAAGACTATTTAAGTGGCTTCGGCATCATTCTATGTCGGAGCCTTACAACCCGAAAATTCACAATTTTCATGTCCTTTCGCCAGTGTCTAACCTAAGTTGTAGTTCTTATTCGGCTTTCCGTCTTTTACACAGTCTGCCAACGGCAAGTCCTCACGATTAAAAACTCCTGAAACCTTTATGACCATTCTGTAAAATTAAATCGCGTTCGTTCGAAGATTTGAATACTACTTTAAGCAGTCTGGATTGATTTGGTTTCAAGTTCGCTAGACACCTTAGTCTGTACACATTTAGCAAGGTGACCCCGGATATATTTTGAGGCATGAGTTGATTAAACAGCTGTTCAATCGGCACAATGTCATGCTCAAAACGAACTTTTGGTCCAGAGCTTTCACTTTCCTTGATTCTATGAAAAATAACTGATCTGTTGCAGTGATCAGCCTTCGATTTCTCGACTACGTTTATGGGGACAGGATTCCCTTTTATATCGCTACGTTGTTTCTTCCTTACAACCTGTACTCATTAGTCAACGATGCTAGGAGAATCAACAACAGTTGCGTCAAACCTATTGTTGGATTCTGGAGGCTCGTCGAAGATCTGGGAGGTCAGGTTATGTTTCCCGCTAGAAACCGATCGAGCCTTCCGATTGCGGCGTCTAGGCGTTTTCTGCTGGATGCCATTTAGAAGACGGGGGAAAGAAGAAACTCCTTTTCTTGAATTTTTGTTTAAGATAAACCTCTTTTGAGACTGTTTTACCTTCTTTGATTGGTGTGAGTCACCAATTTTCGAACTCACTTGACTTTGCTTCATATCAATTTGCGTGCTGACAGAGCGAGTGCTGTTTGATGTGTCCCGACTACGCTTGCTAAAACAATTTTTCGCGGCATCTAGCAGTGAGATGGCCTCGGCTAACAAGCTGTTTACATCCGAGCAGCACTGTTGACTAAGTCAAAAGCAACCCTTTTTACTGAACCGTTTGAAAGCCGCAGGCGTTAAATTCGTGAAAATTTTGTGGTACCAGCCTTTGCACTCATCGCACTGCATGCCGCTTTCAACAGGATAACGACAACCCGGACGTTGGCAACTGCTTTGTTTTGCACTGTCCGGTCATTAAAAAGGGGTCCTTTTAAAAAAAGCGAGATGCAATAAGACTCAGAGATAAACTATGATCTATGACCAAAAATATGGAGAACTGTAGATTGTTAGAACCAAAAGTACTAACAGATACAGTAGAAAATAAGGTACTCAAGAGTACCAACGATAAACTAATTGAGAAACAGTAAACGATACTCTAGTCGAATACTTTAACTGAAATAAATTCAATTAAAGTGAAAACAGTAGACTTGATACGTAATAAACGATCAAAACAATTTACTCAGCGAGGAAAAATACCACTGTTCTTTTAATTAGCGCGCACAGATTCGAGCCGTCATTTAGCGCAAGTTAGCCGGAAATATGGAGATTATAAGGACAGTTCAGAATGACAGATCAAACTCATCGTAATAATAAAATTGTATCCATATTTATCATACTTCCATACCATGAGTATTCTACAAAAACTAATTAGGGTTTACAGCACATACAATTATAAATAAGCAAAACGAGCTTGCCAACCTCCAGAATGTTTGAACCCGTTCGGAAATTCATTTACACACATAAGTTTAGCACAGTGTGAAGATTACATAGTCGTATTACGATTGGTGGATAAATCGTGTGAAAACCAGCCAGACATAAAGTCATAATTAGATTTTGACATCGAATTACCAGTTATTACAACTGAATAAGAGATAGAGATTTCAGTAGATATTTTCGATAGGGGAGGACTCGCTATTCAGAATAACAAACTTAGATGAACCACAAATGAAGGATTAATATGTATTCCTGACTAGTTAGAAATTATTTGCTACTTTATTACACGAAACACTAACAGTTCAATTGACACATTTTACGTAAATCAATATCATGCATCAGTCACTCTATTCTAGGTATATATCAGTAGATTGACAAACTCGGCTAGGTATCAATGCTGAGGTTAACTGCAGTTTAAAAACCTAGGATAGCTAAATTACCCGTAATACGGTTTGGATGTTTTAAGTATAAATACCAATTTAACACACATTAATAATGAAGTGACCCGCTCATTACATCATACGATTTATTATTTTTAACGTGACTATTACTATAAGCGCATTCACTAATATGCTGTTTTTGCTAAATGACTCAAAATTGCTCATGATGGCGTACATTTTGATACTATTCAGCATTTACAACTCTCCAACTACAATCGCTCTTTTTTAACCATATTTTACTTAGTTTTTATGAATAATGGTACTATTGTTTACACTAAGCTCATATTCACCTTTGCGTGGTGCGAATTCGGACCCATACATATTTATGCCAGGCACTGAGTTGCTAATGACGGTCTGACGCAATACGTTTGAAGATGATCATTTTCATTCTTCAGCACTTTTTATCCGCCCATAGTCATTAACAAAATTGAATATAACTGAATTGAAGTCAGTGGAAAAGCTATATGCTCCAAACACAAGACATTTAATGAAAACGACCCATTTACAATTAAATGAAATTTATGGAATTGCCCAAGAAGTAAACAAATTGTACAACCGTATAGAAAGGACGTGCAGCCATAAAAATGATATCCAAGAAACGGATAATAACACAGGGATATAACAGAATACAAAAAAAAGAAATATATGTGGCACTATAATTCCACTTTTAAATCGTCGTCGTCTTGTTCTTCAATAGGCTGAAATGTAAATAAAAGGTAATCGATTAAAATGAATGAAAAAGTTAGCTATACATGCTGTCAATCTCTACCAATATTGAGTTAAACACTCACTACGTAAGACTCACATATTCTCAGACTGGTTATTAATCTGACTCTCCTTACTCATGTACAAATCATGAAATTGCACCAGTTAGAAAAAACATGACTAAACCTCGTTATTGATTCATTTTATTGTATCTTTGACACTATTCGGTATGGGTGTGACTATTGTTTTCTTTGTAATCGACAAGTATTTTGGATTTTTTAACTAATTTTATTAATCTACAATTTGCAAACAGATGATTGTTGGGTATAAATACAGTACCCTGTTTAGACTATATCCCCTGCTAAGACTATGTACGACAGTATGGGGACTCATTCAAGATTACGGCTATGCTCATAATTAGACTCACCTGAGCATCTTTTCCGTCCCAGGGTTCAACAGTTTTTATTTCGGGTAACGAATTCACATCATACAGAGGGAGAGTTGCGCCGCCAACTGAAAGTTGTCTAAGGAAATCATGGACTCCAGCTGAGCTGTATGCTCCTCGTAATGTAGTCCTTTTCTTTTTACGCCCATGTACAGCAACCATAGCCTAAAAGAGAATAGAGGTTGTTTAAATTAATTTATACAACTTTGCAAGCATATATACTCGATTTTAAAATTAAAAGATGAGTTTAAGTGATCAGCGAGGAACGTTTGTAGGTTATTTCACATAATGTTCAAAAAAACATTTTATATCAACCAACCCCAAAAACCACGTCTTTGATGACTACCCATGTGATGTGGGATAGTGAAAGTAAATGTGATTGGCCATTGTGTGGATAAACAGCTTGCTGACAACTACTTTCCTCTTATTGATCTGTACTATGAACTCACTAAGGGTGATGCATTATCAACTAATGTACATGTTTTTTTAACTTTCAAAAATAAAGTATATCATTATAAGTTAAGGTTTATAAACTGATGCCACACAATACTTTTTCGAAAGTAAGTAACCGTAAGCACTTAGTTTCTTAAGTTACAAAAATTTGAACTACAAAACAGAGTTGATTTATAACATTTAGTTTAACAATGCCCTAAAGTTATGAACATATTATTACGTATCTATCCATGCTACAATCAAAGGTTACAATGAGGGTTTAGTAATTCTGTAGTGCTTTTGAAACGATATGATACCAGTAAGAAAATAAATATAAACTAACAAAATTCAATTGAAAAACCAAACGGAGACATATATAACACATACAGCAACGTCTAGTGCAGTAAATGACAATGACAGTATTGGACCATAAAATTGAGGAAAACAAATTTTCACGAAAAAATCTCTTGACCAATTGTTTAGAGATGAAGGGATGAAAAGCCAATAATCGATTATATAATATGCTTAAATTGAAATGATGAAATTTCGACAGTCATACACACTAACGAATAGAATAATGAAAGAATATTTGTACGGTAACGCATCATATTAACAGATATTAGAAGTAGACAATTAAGCGTATGATGGAATTAGCAGTATAACCGATGATAACTTTCAACTTACAGGATATCCTGAACCTCCAATATCGAGTGCATTTTCTAAATTAGGATGTTTGAGTGCTTCAGTCCAAACCCATCTAGATAAAAAAGAAATATTTAGTTAAATTATATTAATAAGGTTATTATGTGATTAATGAGTTTTATAGGAGTAAAAAAATATTATCTTGTGGTATGCTAAATAGCCATTGTTACGACTATCCGGATGAAATTATGACTAAAGGAGGAGGAATAATATGAATTGAAGACAGAGATTGATTATGAATAGTGAATAGTAAGTGCTATTAGAGATATGAGGGCAGTTATCACTTCCCGGTTGTCCACACCGTTGAAGGGTTCTTCTGGAGGTAACCTGATGAGGAAATCGGGTTAAGGGTGGTCTTAGTGACCTGAGAGCGTGACCGCAAAACCCAAGGAACAACTGCGTGAAGCCGGTTACACATGACCATTTTGTGGGTAATTTCCGTGTTAGCTCCGTACTTGTTGAGAACTTACCACCGGAGACGGATATCCATGGGCGAGGTGTGCATTTTTAGGGTCGACCTTTCCTAATCTCACCCTTCCTTTGTGAGAAGGCGGCATCGCTGTTATGCTGGTTGTCTGGAGGAAACACCTTACTGCCGTCACATATCTGAACAATCAGCAGTACGACTTTGCCCTCGGACCTTGGGTTTGCTGCTTTTAGTAGTACTGCTCTTCTCACCTGATTTGCTTGGCATGGTAGGTTCTTGAAGAACGATTTTTCCGACCAGTATATTTTGGTTGGTTCATTACGATGAGCAAGCCCGACCACCACGTCAAGGTAACAACGGCCGACTCACGACTGAAACAAATATATTGAGAGTTTCAGTACAGCTATCAAAATCTCGTTAAAGTTCTATAATTACCAGTTAAAGAAGTAGAATATTCCAGACTCAGGCGATAAGTCTTCTTACTGAACATTTGAATTGGTTTCCTAAGCTCTTTTAATAACCCTAATATAAAACTACACGGAGACCTGAACACAAGAGAAAAGATACGAAGTGTGAAAAGAAAGCTGTACTCTAAGGTTAATTTACGTAAAGAAAATCGAGTGTTTTATAGTATTTCAGATGGCCTTGGGCTTCAGGAAGTTTCTGGAACTATACTAGACGTAGTAGCAGGATAGGTGATCATTTAATCGAAAATGTGACAAGTGACTCTTCCCTTTCTGGATGTTTCTGAGAAACTTAGGTTCAATGCTGATTGGATAAAATATATCCCAACGTTTCCAGGGCTCCTCTGGACTTTTTCGAGTAATACTTGGGATCTCCCTTACATCAGGATTGATGTTATTTCTCAGTTGCAGATTTAAACACAAACATTCTACCGGGTTTCCATATTCTTCAAGTGGAATAATTTAGGATGGAAGTTATCTTGAATTGATATCATGAGTGGATCAATGTTAAACCGTCATTGAAAACCTGAGAGCACTGAACAACGATTCGTCCTAGAAAGGGACTCCTCAGAAACGCGTCGGAATAGATTATGCGATTAATAACCATATTGATGTATGAAAACCAACAAAATTAGATAACTTGTTGAAATATCTAGATGGCAGGAACAGGTAGCCCAGATCTTCAAGCAGGTCACCATGACTAGTAATAATAGTCTCTCTTAAATGTGTTTCTACACACATTCCTAATCGCCGTTTACCTTGACAGGAGATACGTATGTAGGGAGAAAGTTAAGGGTGAGCTAAACCAAGACGTGGCATCAGTCGAGGAAGTCAGTGACTCGCGCTTATCAAAGAAGTAACAGTTAAACATAAATTATAAATGGCTAAAGAAACAATAGACATTATTATATGAAGTATAAGTTCGTATACTTTTCAGTAAACTGTATACGGAAAGAAATTATTTAAAATAAATAAATTACTGTGGATGTGACTAACCGCAACAGAAAGACTTTTAATGCTCATAAAAATTGAGAAAAGATATGTCTAAATACTCACCCCCATTTCTGCTTTTTAAATTTATCAGCCTCTGATTTTAGTAAATCCAGGTACTTTTTACGACATTCTGATTGACAGTCAAATAACATAGGAAAAACACTGATGATGCAAAGTGGACGATCTTCACAAGCTTCTTTTAAAATACTTGCTGAAGTCAATTCAACAATCTCTGGTGCTGGAGCAGAAGCATCGGCTTTTTCCATAGCCCACGCAACGATCGCATCTGAACTTCGAGCACCATCGTAATCAATAGGGTCATCTGTTTTCGGTCCAGCAGGGAAGAATTTGATGGTAGGATAACCCCGAATCTAAACAAAAAAACGCCCATATAACGTTCCATGATGTATGTTGGTGACCACATCTATTTATGTGTTAAATACATCAAATTATATGTCCATATTCATCAAAACCATAATCAATGAAACAACAAAATATGAAGTTGCAGAAATCGGCTTCGGTAAAATTACTGGAATAGTTTTATTTAAACAATGAAATTTGCTAGTTTTATATGATTTAATTAAGATGAATTTTCCGATCAACATTCACAGAACAATTTAAGAGAAACTTTAGATCTAATAATAAGTGTATAGTCTAAATGACAGCCTACTTTTCAGATCATCATTGATCCCTCCGTTGTTTATGATTCACTAAATCAGAATTCAGTTTCTTTATCTTCATTATATAAAAAATTGGAAGTTAGACTGTTGTAAAGTTTGGCAAATTCACCGAATCATTACTGTATTGTGGTGCTACTTATATTGATATAAGTAGTATATAATGCGAGTCAAGAATGTAATATCTGGCAGCAGATGGAGAAGATCAAGAAAGGAAGAGCGGGAATAGAAAGCAATTAGTATGGAAATGCAATAACAACGAAGTTCGAGACAATTATTGAAAATTTTGCAAATTAAGTATTATAGTATGGTTTTGCTATTTTACCAAGTAACTGTAATTTTGTGCTAAATATAATTCGATTGTCCCCACCCGTGTTCAGTTCAGTATATTATAAGATTTTTAGTTGTCATAATCTATTTATCTGGTGACCTAAATAATTCTATGTTTTATTACATTTCAGCAGTAAATTATCTAATAAGTCTGGTATGCTCACATACATTTGTAAGCTTTATTCAATTTGTGTTAGGTAACTGAACGAAATAATAATCAATGCTAAAACTGCAACAAAATTTTATACTCCAAGAAAACAAATGTCGATTTTTGTGTGTAAATATAACGTATAGATAGTTTTATTGCAATCTGGCATTAGATACAAAAAATCTTTAAAAAAGCACTAATTTATCAAGCAGAAACTCTTTATCCGTATGCACATTATGTCAAATCCAGTACCTTTCTGTTTTAGAGAGAACACATTGTTCAGCCGGTCAGAAAATGGTGGTTCAGATTTTCGACGGCCACTCGGTTAGTGAAATAGCACAATAATCATACAATGTTACCAATGGATAGCTACTGAATTCATCAATTGTCCAACTCATAAAACCACTTCTCAGTAGAATTTCCAGAAAACTAATTTGAAGGTTGCTATTCAGTACTATCCAGTGTTTCAAGAACTTCATTTAGTAAAGAGGAGACGATTATACAGAGTTACGTATTCATGTTGGGTACATACAAAAAAGCATGTATATATCATTCTTCCATGCAAAGAAGTAAACATGACTAGATTAGGAAAATATTGGTCAGCTATTACGGGAGAACAACAACAATAGACAGAAGGCGCTTAAAATCGCAACCACATACGGGGGACATAGAATAGATCACCTACTTTTAAACTACAAAACTCTCTGTATGTGAAAAAGATCTTTTAACAAAATGCGTATGACCATCATCCCTTTTACTAAAACTAGGAGGTTTAGTCAGTGAGAGTGAAGGGTAGTACCTCTAACTAGTCTTCACAGAAGCGTGGCTTGAATCTCAGTATACGAACTTCCACGTGGTTACTGAGTGGCATATCCAATAAAAATTAAGGGAATATTTTTTCCTGAAGTATCGTAAAATTTGTACCATACACCGAAATAAGCTCGTTGAATAGCTATGAACGCAAAAATAACTTTGAAATGAACTTTACGAAGCCTTTCCTTAAATAAGCAGAGATCTAATCGACTGATACAGAAAAGTATGGTAACTTTAAAAAAACTCAGAATGCCTCAAAAGCAGGTGGAAAACAAATTTTATTTTCTTATAAAGAATTAATTTACCCCATATTTCTGAGCCATTCGACTATGAACCGTAGCATCCAAAGCGGCTAATTTGACAGTTCCTTTCAATTCACGAGCTGCTTTGTCCCAATGAGGTTTCAAATTTTTACCTATACAGAAAAAATATAACTACATTACATTGAGCTGCAGTGAACTGATGACTGACGAGCAATCATGAATGGTTTCGTATATGAATTATAAAATTATAAAATTTCTCGCATATCGATTGAAATTAGTGCAACTAATATGACAAGTATATGTTTATCAAGTGCTCAACTTTGAAATACACGTTTTGTGAGGCTTAATGAAAATATTTAAATGTCTAGAGTTGAATGCTTCAACCACTAAGCCACTGGAATATCGACTGCTTAACTAGACTTTCTGGAAATTACCTTATACTTAGAGGATGACTATGCAATTTAGTCCTATATATCACCTTACTTTTGCGGATATACTCTATCTTTGTACACTGAAATTGGTAAATACTGATGAATTAAAGACATGATAGCAAAACTAAAATACTTTACTTACAATGACCACACCAAGGGGCGAAAAATTCTACCAACCACGGCTCTTGACTGTTGAGAACCATTTCATCGAAATTGCTGTCCGTAAGCTCTATTACGTCATCTTTGTCAGAGCCATCCTGACAGAAAAAAATTTCAGCAGTAATGTATACAAATTAAACATAAGAAACAGACGATAATTGTCTTAGTCAGTCTCTGGAATAATAAGTGAGTCTACAGGAAGTACAATTACCGACTTTATGACGTCTTACGGGTCAAATTCTATTGATATCGAAAATCGATGACATCATAAACAAGCACTAAGGCAGCATGTATCACTCATGCTTTCAATGAGTTTTAAATGGATAACTGGTTACCACTGAGATGAGTAGGCAGGAAACTGAAAAGTACTGTACACGTTGCAAGTTACGTATACAGTCCAAACTTTGACGAATAAATTACTAAGTACCTTCAATTTTACTAAATATACACTGAAGTATTGACATATGAAAAGTTCGACTGACAAAAGCAATGATTCTCCATATTGAGTTCTAAGCAATATCTATTCACAGAAAAATTAAATCTCTTATGGATTATGAAACTTAACACTCAAAGACAGTGATACTAAGAAAATCGAGAAAAATTTAGGCGCTAGCAGTCGCTTTGTTAAAATTAAGTGAAATGAGATCAATCTGAACAGATTATCTTTTGGTAGTATGAATAATCAATCAGCACACCTGCCGTCATGAATTAATGAATAGCTTATAGTTTATTTATTTGTACAATCGAATACAAATATTGGCACAAATGGGCACCGAAACAAATATGCGCCACTAAAACAAGCGAATAAAATTATGAACAGATAGATGAAGCAAGGTGAATATAGTCAAAAGTGAATAAAGTAAAAACAAGTGAATGAACGAAAGATATCTTAAAGGAAACAGTTCAAGTTAGGAAAAAACAACGAAAATTCCTTTAGTTCAAGAATTTTCTCATTTTTATGGGTAAAGTAAAAGAAAATTACACCAGAAATGCTACTGGCTTATATTCTGATTCAAGTCTGACAAAATCACAAGACACTGATTCGCACTATCAGTCGGACCCCAACTAGGGAAACGTGATAGATTGACAGACGCCAATCCTATAGAGCTTTTTCCATGCCCCACAGCAATGTCATACACTGATCACCTTTGCTGTTTCCAACCAAGACGTCGGTAGATGTTATCCATTAGCATCCCATCAGTTTCGCAATTAGTATTCCTAACACTACGCATCTTGCTGACAATGGCTTGGATGAGCTGAAAAACCTTTCGACAGTTACCCTGGTGCTTCTAACTAGTCAAAATGCTCCAATCACCACGTTTCTCAACCCTTAAGCAAATTGCACGATTTCCTTATGTAAGCATGTAATTTTATCGCCAAACTCGCTAATACCGTTAGTAGACTGACGTGTCGCAAAAAGTTGAGAAGAGCCTGTAGAAGCCCAGTACTTATAAGCCGGTTGTTTAGTACAGCCGCGAGTTACCTTAATCGCCATGTAAATACAGTTAGTGCTTATCTGTACTGTTAGGTAGGTTGATAGTTAGCCATGAACTTAGCTCGATTTGATTTTTAGTTTCGACAGAATCTGTAGCCAGTTAACCTAAATCAATCCGCCAAAAATGATGAATTTGTTGGCCACCGAAACGTAAAACGAGATTGGCGCAAACGAGAGCATGGTCAGAGTCAGAAGTGGAGTGTTGTACACAACAACTCTGGCGGTAGCTGATCGCTACGTGAGCAATCTGAGTTCAGGCTTGAGTCGAGGAGGATGTCAGGTAGCACATCCGTGATGACTATGTTGAAAATTGCTGCTGTACAGAAACAGGTTGTTGTTTGCGCAGATGGACATCATTACCTGATATTCCACAGAGTTCTCATCAGTCACACAAGCTACTCTCTTTTGTGGCTAGACGCTCGACCTGTACGTTCAAATCTCTGGCTAGAACTACGTCTGTCGAAAGCATTCTCATGAGGTCATTTAAATGATGGTAGAACCTACCTTTGATTGTATTCTGGCTCTAAAATATTGGTAAGGTGGTGATGACGAAACGATATGATTCTTCATACCGATTTCTTCTCAGTTTGATGTAACTTCTTAATCTAACAGTACACGAATGGTTATTAATAGGAATCCAAGCGATTAGTGCTTCTTGAGCTCTGGCACTTAGTGCGACACCAATACCAACCAAACTTGATAAAGATGACACAGGGTTCCACGATAAACGCAGGTAACATAATCTCTTTGAATCGACAGATGAAGAACGAATTCACAGTATTTCACTAGAATCCCGGATATAGGTCTCGGATATACACCAGACTTTGGTATTAAATCTTTCCAAAGACATTACCAGACCTATCTGTTGTGCGATCTGCATTAGTGAACGGATGTTAAAGTACGCCAGACTGAATAGCACACGTGGCTTCAGAGACGCTGGTTAATAATTCATATTCGGTAGTAACACTTAACTTTTGACCAGTCAGTAACTTGAGTTTATCTAAGCAAGACAAAACCTCCACCACAGACAAGCTAATGTTGTAGAATAAAGGTAGACAGGATTGAAACAAAATGGGGCAAAAAAACACTTAGATTGAACGGTTTACAATTGCCCCTTGAGTCAGTAGTCCAACACAGATTGAATCAATTTCGTTGTAATTATTTATTCTTATGCTTGTGATGTGGTTGGGAAACTGGCGAGACAGCAATGCCTACACAAATGTTCAAGCTACTAGAAACTACGATGGCTTTTAATCGATAAGTCAAAGCAGAACAAAGCTCTACCGGCTTCGATCTGAGTAGCCAGGTAGTATCACTAACACCTAAAGTGTAAAACAAGTTCGATTTTACGAAGTTATGCCAGCCAAGTTAGTTACATTAACTACAAGTAAAAACACTACAAGCAATATGGGTATAGATGATGAAATTCTAAAAATATCAACTAAAAATTTAATTTAAAAAACACATTTTGCTAAAAACACGTCAACACTATTAACAGAGATGTACGTTTTTCAGGAGTCGAATCGCATGAAAGTAACTAAGATCGTACCGTATTTCCTCAATATATTCATGAAAAAGCTGACTATATATACTTGACGAAACAACCAGAAATTTTAAGAAAGACTTACAGACGATCCAGAACCAGTCCTAGATTTCACTAAAGAAGTAAGTTCGCGTAAAGCCTCTTTGTTGAGATGATCAATATCTCTACCACCTGAAAAACGAGCTAGTTCCACACATAAACATTACCTGTATATGGTTTAGGACTGTGTTTATTATCTCCAAATATAATAATTGTTGGAAAGCCCTGAACAGAAAACCGTTGAGTTACCGTAGGGTTGTTTTCAGAATCAACCGCACCAACTTTTATAATACCCTGTTTGATTAGCAAATAATTTTCATTCCAACTAACCTTAAAATTAGTGGCGAATCGTTTCCAATCTGGAGCAGCATTTTTACTGTGTCCACACCAAGATGCATAGAACATAATAAACCATAGTTCCTTGCTTGATGTTACTTGGTCAAAGTTTTGGTCTGTGAGTTTGATAACATCATCACTGGTACTGAACAGACAAAGTGCCGGACTTAACAGCAGAAAAAGAACTACAGAAAGCAATACGATTTTTCTTTTATTAGTTTCAGATATTTAGAAATTCTAAAATTTTTACATTTTTACTATGTATTAATAGTTAATTAGTCGCTATTTGAAAATAATTAGGTGACGAAGTATAAATTTATAAGCATGTATGGTGTTCCTAGTTGTGGAAACTGAAGTAAAGCTGGGTTTTAACGTTACAGAATTACAACAGTATTTAGATCTTTACATTCAATATTGCCGCGTAGTAGTACACAACTCCTTGAAATAAATAATTTTGTAAGCATTCGAGATCGACACTGACATTAGTTCTGACGGACGCCACTAGCTGAAGTAGCTCGGCCAAGTATCACTACTAAATCATAGCACAATTTGATGCGAAACGCTTTTTTGCACCGCACATTCAGTTAAGTGTTACGCTTATCTTCCTCTGCATACGATCAAATATACATTTTTTCCCGACCATTATCGCATCATAACTTGCTTATCTTTTAGTGCACATTGTTAGGTACTTTAGTATCTTCACTGTCTGATTATTGTATCAAGTATAGCCTTAGCACCTTTCCTCGGAGTTTTGCAGCCAAAGCAGACTTCAATCCAGCTCACTATTTGAAACACAACGCTAAAACCACATATTACTGCGAAGTTTAGGCATTCGTTAGTAACTAGCTTAAAGTTGTCGTTAGGTATAGTGGGACCAACGATCATCAGGTTACTAGTACTGAGACTAGATGATGGTCTCCCAAATGGTATGAGAGAAGATAAGAAATACGTTTAGGGAGGTTAAACGAAAATATGGAATTAGTCCATGAAGTAAATAACTGTTAATCTATAGTTAGCGCGTTTATGCCACGAGGTTTACAAAAAGACCATCATCAGATACTCAGATTAAAGTTTTAAAAAAATAAAGGATCATCAGACATTCGAAGTCACGCAAAATGCGGAGAGCTGAGAAAACTAGAAACGACTCTTTGTAATAACATATTTCCTGTGCTGAGATTATCTTCTGCTTTATGACATTCTACTCGAAATTCTGGTGAGACTAATTTATGGACAATCTTTGAACAACACTAAAATGACGTTAGAATATCCACCTACGTACCAGGGTTAAATAAGGGTTTTATATTAGGATCCATAGTTGAGCGTTAAGGTTCAAAGTTGGATTTACTTTCTTTATCAAGAAATGGCATAAGCTGTGACGCCAAAATGATATTCAGCCAAATGAGTGAATGAATTTCGCAATAAACACAGGATCTGTTATATTAAGCTAGATTGGTTCGTTCATAAATTAGTCTCATTGAACTTTCCAATATCACGCGTATGGAGAAGGCCCGCGAAAAAATCTAAAGTTCAACTAAAAACTTACGAATTTTCTCCGAAAAATCTCAACTAAGTTTGGGAAAATCCTTAAAACGTTGAAACTTTAGGGTTTGTTATAATATTCCCATACTAATTTCACAGACTTGGAGTCAATAAAATTTCAACTGGTCTGAGCTCGTCACTGGGAAATTTTATTGACTTTGAGGAGAAACAAAACAATTTCTAACGATATTTAGAAACTTCAAAATGTCCCTCAGATATTATGAAATCTACTCAAGATTGTGTTGCGGGTCAAAGTTTAGAGACTATTAAGGGCTTCCCATTTTGTCATACTTAGATACTAAACCACAGTTTGTACGGAACTATAAGTGGCATCAAGAGATGAAATATAAATACAACTAGCGGTTAACTCGTAAAGGCTAACTCAAGGCGTTTGTAAAATATACAATACCGAAAGAATTCCTTAAACAGGGGAAATGTTTACGAGACTAATAACAAACAGCTTAATTCTTCGTGTTAATGAACACATAAGATCAACTAGAAACGCGCGACCATCTAGTGAAACCGACCTGCCAAGCGATACATTTTCGCAAATTTGGAACTGTCCGCCAAAGTGCACGTAATGTAAATATGTAACTATCTGATTGGCTTGTACATACACGCTCTAAAGAAATAAACAAACTTCACTGAACCAACACATGATTATCATATACCTAGTTCATATGATTCAGTTAATTGTGACTGAAAAATCTATGGCGTTAACTGACCTCTTCATTTAGTAGCAGTGTGTCACTCATGTCTCTCGTCGGAGAGCTAGCATTATTTCACCCGCATAACGGATATGTTAGTAAAATATGGTGAAATAATTTTTTCGGTTCTTAAGAACGTGTAAATTTTCCTCCTGAAAGACTTCTGTAAAGCCAAACGGACCATATCAGTTGCCATATGTTTCAGGATTTGACTACTCATTAAGAATAGACGGTGTGTCTACAGTTCGCTTTGTCGTGCTGTGGTTCTAATTTCTGAATATTACTCACACATATTGTGTTGCGATTTAGCTTAAGCAAATATTTAAAAGGTACTCAGGCGTATTAAGGATTCTATAAGTCATTAGGTAAATTAATTTACCTACAGAATTCTGAGAAGTCTATACTTTAATGGGTAAAAATACAGTGACTATAGGCTAAGTTCATAAGTTCTGAATTTTGACCACCAGACTTCGGAAATTTTTCAAAGGATTGATTTAGAATGAAGGAAAGAACGCCATATTTTTTTACTCTAACTGAGACAGAAGGAAACTGTCAAGTCGAACGTTCTACCGTCAAAATTGCAAAGGATACGTCTCTCCGTAACCAATAAAACCTTTGTATGAAGGGCATTTATGTCACACATGGGGCAAAACCTTCTTGCATCACGTAATAACACTCCTTGATCTTTTTCGATTTCGAACGAAATTGGGTTGTGAGGGAAGTGCTATCGATCGATAGTTTGAAGATTTAATTAACCTATTTCATTTCCTAATGCAATTCTCAGGCAACTACTACTAGACTATGTAAGGTGTACAAATTTCGAATGCTGTGAAAGAGAAAAATGTTTCGGGCTGATTCGTCAGGACATCAAGAATTCCACTACATGAGTACGTCATCCAAATCCAATGTGTATTCAAGGCTATTCAGATAACAGTTCATTGAGGAGTTGTCATGCAGATCAAGAACATGAGCACAAATTTGGCAAATGTTTGTTCTGTGGCAAATTTCACTCGTATAGTTCGTGTGTATTTCATAATGTCAAATGTTCTGAATGTGGTAAAACTGAACACATTCATGCAGTTTGTAATAATATTATTCATTTCTCTGTAGGTAATGATAAACTTTGTAATTCCAACCCTATTAAGCTGAATGTTTCAAATGAACCACACTCTGATCAGATTCGTGATATCGCCTTACCAAATATGTACTGTTCTCATGATTCGTGTATTTCTAATGAAATTATTTACAAATATGTGTAAGATATATCGAGTGCACCAAATCTTAATCAGATCTATCATGCAACTGTGCCGAAAATACTTTGTCAAAATAATCCACATATTTCTTAAAAATCTGGGGAAAGTATGTTGAATGAATCAAATCATGATGGAAAATCTGGTGCAGTTTTGATAGACGCCAATTTTTCCCATAATTCATTATTCTTCAATGACATTTCAATGAATTCAAAGACAATTCAGAAAAAACAAATCTTGATGTCATATCAGACGTTATTTGTCCTCAAAATGCATCTGTTTCCTATTGGGAACTACTTCAATGTAAAGCGAAAGTCCTTTCACAAATCATTCACTAAACATCCTTTAAAGTAGCAATCGTACCTTGACACGACGAAGGGGTAAACCATGTTAGGTGCTGACCGTCAGTTGTGACAACGAAGTTATGTGTTTGTTACATCATTCTCATCTACGTCAAGTAGGCCCCCAATCATTCGCCACAGATCTTCTACGTTGGTGATCTACAGTCTCTACTAACACAACCAAAGCAAGGTGAGATATCGAAAACACATTTAAAATAATAAGTGATGGCTCTGACCACTGATGTTCTTGTAGATTTTATGGTCTACTATGATATTAGTACTGCTCTAATAATAGACCTAATCCTAAATTTGTAGATTTGTCATGATATGACTGCCTAATCTATAAGATCTTACGTGGAAGTCACACCATCGACTACACCAACTCACTGTATCGTATCAATTACCAATACATGATGTAGAACAAGGTTAGGCTAGAGAAAGAACAATATATTTAGTATGAATAGAAGATATAAGGTAACATTCAGCAGAGACCACGCCTGCATGGCCGAGCCATGCCGTTCGATCAACTCTAGTCTATTCAATTTATTATTCGCGCCTTCTCCATCGTTAGGTATTTCTTCGCGTTAAATATTGAATACCTATTTTCCGAGTAATCTCGTATTCAGCTTTGAGGATAGTGTGGTTATGGTCCAATGCCACTACACTACTCTCCCACCAGAATCAACGTGGTGTTGGTTCGATACCTAATTGGATGGGACTGTAGTGTGCCGAAGGTTACCAAGAATAGTAAGATTCCTCCGGGTGATGACAAGCTGAAAGATAAATCAAAAAGAAGACGGCAGCATCTGGTCGGGAAATACATGTAATAATTTTGAAATATCTGCCTTCATGCTTAACACGCTTACAATGAAAATTTGAGTGATTATTTGAGCTATAAAAAATGGGATTACAATAATAATAATAGTAATAATAAAACGATGCGTGTGTAATAGCCGTTGGTTGATAACTTAACGTATAGGTAGTAAGTATTTTGTGTTTAGAAACATTAAAGTTATGAATATTTTAGAAATGTTAATATTAGTACTACTTTTAGTCTAACTTATAAAATCAAATAACGATTATGCCGGTAAGTTGTCCATATGAGTCGATTTCCAATTGCATCTGTATTAGTAGGCTAACTGAAGGAACAAAAGTATTACCGTGGAGAAGAATTCCAACTAGTGTTCCAGTTAGTTTGATACGGTTTATTTAGTTACGGGGAGATTTTCTCAACCCCATGTTTATCTGACCGTGATAGAATTTAGTAATACTACTAATACACATGAATGGTTATCAAAACAAAATTTAAATACGTGAGTGATAATTATGTGAATTTTGGACAGATAGCTAGAAACAAATCGTTAAACATGAGTGTATTCTTAAGAGACATGCTCTAGACTCAATGTTCTGATCTGCGGCAGACTATTTATTTATATCTATACTTGCCGGCTGATTGGGTATACAAGTTAGTTGAAAGTATGCAGTTTATCATAAGGCGGAACACGATTTAATTGAGATATAGTGGTTATACGTTATTGAAATTAGTTAAACCTATGTGTCATATTACTAAGTGATGTGGTGCTGCAAGGTGTATTTGGCTAAATAATTTTTTACAAGATGATTAATAGTGAGTGATGCTCATGTGATTATCAGGGAGAACATAAGTTGTAACCAAGGGGAGTGCACTCCCAACTCATGCCTATGATAATAGCTTGAACCTTAGTCAGTGTTGGGGTAAATTCGACATTGATGTTTTCAGTTTGCAGGATATTTGCTCGACTGCTTATACTGATTATTTGCATGCATGATTGTGTCGCTAAACCATCAATTAGACTGACAAGGTTCTGAGATATTTACTGAATGAGCAACTGATAGAGAAACATACTGTAATCGCCTGTAGTGAATGAAGATAAAAGGAAAACAACACTAGTTATAATCATAAGTCAATTTGCTGACCTATTTGTTAATAGTTTCATTAATTTTATCAATCATATTACGTGATTGTCAAGTCATGACAATGCTTTATGAAGATATCCTGAAACTATTGTGTTTAATGAGTTATAGTGTTGATTGAAGATTGGCCAGTGGAAAAATAGGCATTGTTGCTTTAGGTGATTCAAAATTATCAGAAATTTGTAACGTTAAAGAATCCGAGACGCCTAATTTAATTATAAATTTTAATTCAGAAAGATTCGTTTAGTGTTAATTCTAGTAGGCTACGGAGTTTTGATTTTGAACGTTTGTTTAGCCAACAGCTACCCAGGGATTTAGTTATTCTACTAGTGCAGTTGATAGTACCTAAATTTTTAATCTTATTATCTAAACTATGTTCGCATTTTAGGCTGCTAATATGATAAACCAATCCATAAACCCAAATACGATTAGCAACAATGACTATGATGGGTTTATTGATAAATGTTAAAGGCGATTCAGATGATTTCTGGATTCAAAAGACATGAAGATATAGTAAAACGTATATACGGGCCAGGTTAACATGCAGGTTGTTGACGTATATGAAAAATTAAAAATAATGAACATGACCAGAAAAACAATTTTAAAGTTAAGACTGCTTGTGAAACTTCAGGCAGGAATATGATGCGTTATAAACATTCTATAAGAAGTTACTGCATTTAGCCTAAAGATAATTATAAATATGTGGCAAACACAACTGGAAAACATATACATGTTAAGTACAGAAAAATCATCCAGTAAAATAGTTGAACTCGCCTGGATTATTTTTGAAAAAAAAAATTATTCAGTGGACGACATATATAACGCCATTCGTGAGGAGTAATGATCCAAAAGTATCCACAATAAAACATGCAGTATGGCAATTAATTCCAGGGTGCTTGATGCTGATGACGTTTTCGCCACTCGCTCGGATCAAAACAATCGAATGAATCCAGATAACTGTGTCAGCCATTGAACGAGCCATCTAAAATGACCTTATGATTGCAGGAAACTTATGGCTGAAACTCACCGTATGTTTTTAGAGAAAAGTGTCATCCTTGTTGTTTGGCAATGGAACTCGAGAATGTGAAATTAGGCAGGCAGTGGTCGGAAGAAAAGATTTTACAGGATAGTGCATAGTTTAAAACAGGATGTGTTAAGCGAAGGAACACTAAGAATTAGATCCAGATATCTATTCAATCCCTAATTGCATTGTTAGTCAATGTATAATTACGCTACTTACAGATCATATTTGCTAGAGCTTGATGTTTAGACAAGTCTATGTCGCTGAAGCAGGTAAATGCTATTAAAGCTTGTTAACGAACCATCAAAGCTAATTAGTTGA